CGCGCTGATCCGCATCCACGATGACGTCCAGTCCAAAGACCTCGAACTGCCCCAGCTTTCCTTTCTCCGCAATGCCCTCCTGCGGCGTGGTTCATCAGTGGGTTTACCTTTTTTTAGCCTGGTATTCCTGGTTATTCCTTATTCTTTTGTTATCTATGTCAATGTTTATCGTTAACATGTTGATATACGTTTACATTATATTGTGTAGTCATTTATTATATGTGTATATATATGTGTGTGTGTGTGTTATACATCAACCTATATATATATATATATGTGTGTATTATATTATTTTTTTTGAACATTTAAATTTTAAAGCATACATTCATTCATTACATACCAGTACGTCATTTTTCGCCAACAACCCAGCACAAACACAGCAACTGCAGCCCTTTCTTCCCCCTTTGTGCAAAAGCGGCCGTGCCCTCCTTGATGCCTAAGGTGATCTCCATACAGATGGACTTCACCTGCTGCCAGAAGTTCAAGCGGAACGCTGGGATACCATAGTTCTCCTGCAGGTACCTGGCCCCAGGGTGCCAGCCGAATTTTCTGGCGTTTAAAAGTGCCACGAAATACGAAGGTGTTTACCCATCAGAAAAATGATGGATTTCACCAATGAACCCAGTGGAATGTGACGGAATGTGTGCGTGGAAGCTACTGGATTCTCAGGGATGGGGGCTGGGAACACTAGCAGCTTTGCAAGGAACATATTGTGTGCATCATCTCAGCTAAGGATGGAAAATGAAGCTGTTGAGTGGCTTTGGTTTACCATGTTTTCGAAACTCCACAGAAAAGCCATCCAGTTTAATGTGGGAATGGTAAGTTTATACCACCATTCCAAAAATTGTGATTTTCCTGGGGGGGTGGTGCAGATGGCATTGTTTTACCCTCTGGTAATTTAACATAGCTATAGAAAATCACCATTTTTAATAGGTAAACCATCTATAAATGGGCCATTTTCCATAGCTATGTTAGTTTACCAGAGGGTACCCACAGAATCGTCCCCTTTTTCTAGGACTCTTTTTCGTCGTCCCCAATTTTACCCCCGTGAAATCTCTGGCACCTGTCCAACTCTTCCAGAGACATGAGCTCGGCAGCCGCCGTCTCGTAGAAATCCTCTTGCTTTTTCTGAAACTCCTCGTGTCGTTGTAAAAAAGTGCGCAAAATGATGGGGGAGTCAGGTGTCAATCTATCCATGTATCTAGTTTATCTCATCCAATCTAATCTAATCTGCTCTATGTAATCTAATCTTGTCTACTCTAATCCAACACACACACTCTCTCTCTCCCTCTGTCTGTAGAATGGGGTTGAGGAACTGACCAAATGAGCTCCCTGGTTTTCACTCTCTGTTTCTCCATGCTGATAATTGCAGATGTTCATCTCTCCATATGGGTGAAGCCCAGGTATTCGCTCGTTCCCAAATCACGACAAACAGACTTGACAAAACTTGAAAGGTCGTCTACATTATGCAAACGGAGTTACAAAAAATTACGTGTAAATGCACAGAAGTTCCAAGCTCTTGAACAAAATAAATTGAAATAACCTTCTTTCCGATTGAGTTGTCACAAGAGTCCTGCTCGGTGACGTGTCTGAACAAATCTTCACGATTGAACTTGTTTTCGTCATAGTACTGGCCACAGCGCTTGATGTAGCCGAAGTTGTAGTGGAAGACCAGCATTGGATTGGTTCGCGCCACCAACATGTAGACCCGCACGGCGAACTTGCGGTTCTCCAGGAGCAAAGGGTTCCTGATCAGCTTAAGCCCAGTGAGGTCAACGATTGATCATTTCTGATGTGACACCGGAGATATCTGGTGGTATCTGGTGGTCATGACTCCTGATTTACGGGTTCAAAGCCCACCAAGGCGGGTGACAGTCACTTCTGATAGTCTATCTAGTATTTTTTGGGGGGGGAACAAATTGGCTCAGAAATCGTCCACTGTGGACGTTCCTAAAAGCAAATGTACTTGGGTTGCTGGTTCTGGGCTTGAAATGGCTTTGATCCACTAAATCGCGGCAAGCGTCACCATGTACTCTTGGATGACCCCAGAATGCCTAGGTTCTTGTGGCCACTGGGCACATGACGTTCCTGTGGTTGTTTGCTAAACGCCTGTGTGCCTACAATCTGCTCCTTTCCCTTAAGGATCAACACCAGCCCAGAACTTGTACATCTTGTGGTGGATCATGGTGGATCTCATGTTCAAGTCCAACTCAAGAGTCCAACATCATTAGGGCCCTTGGATTCTTCCGGCATCTCTCTACATAACTATTTCTTACTATTTCCTCGACGACAGATCCCCAATTTTTCGTTGCTTAACCCCCCAGCTGTGTGACTTCTAGATAGCAAGAACTTGGCAAAAACCCCATGAGAGGAGCCATAGGACCCATGGGCCCATCATAACCCCCAGGGTGCAGCTTGGTGGCGCAAAATCTCGCTCCTTCCTTGGTGCGGTGGTGCGGTGCCCGATACAAAAACAGGTGTAAATCCTCCATTAAACCATTGCTTTCTGGGGGGTGCCCTATTATCGGGGGATGGGTTTGGCCGCTTAGCCACGTGCCATCCGGGCCATCCACAAAGGAGAATGGTGAAAATCTGAGCATTTCCGAGCAGCAAGGGAGGCTCCTTGGGATCAAAAACCTCCACGTTTTTACACCTGGCAGCTGGCCACTCGGATCCAAAAACCCAAAATGTAACATCTGGTTATGACTAACAGTTTGCCATGGAAGTTCACCATTTTTAATAGGTAAACCATCTATTTCTATGGGCCATCTATACCATGGCTATGTTAAATAACCAGATGGTAACATCCAAAAAGCGCCATCAGGTTCATCAAGCGAACTGAAAGTGAGAAGTACCTGACCACCAAACAGATGTGTCTCAATTCAGTTTCCAAAATCCTATCAGATCCTATCAGCAACTTTCCTTTGAGACTGCGGCAGAGGAAACCTCCAAATGGGTATGGGTCGAAATTGGGCACCCCAATCATCATTAGATAGTTAAAAACGACTAAAATCTGTGGTCCCCCAGGTCCTGAGGTCTGTAGTTTTGACCCATACCCAAATGATCCAATGCTGCGCCTGGTGCGGAAGGGACGCTCTCGAGAGTCCACATCCGAAATTTTGGAGACCTTGGGTCACAGGAGAGCCGACGCCACTGGATGGCTTCACTGTGAGGGTTTTTAAAGATGTTTATGGGGAATATTAATCATGATATAACCATAGAGTCCATAGCTTTATAAACCAACCATAGTTGATGCACATAATTGACATCATCCCTTCTCCCGTTCATCGTAAACATCCCCAGAAATCATAGTTCGTGGGGATCAAAACACATATTTGGAGGGATGAGATGATCAATCATCCAATTCTTAACTACTAGTATGAACCATGTTATTTAACCATGTGTCTACACAAAATATAATGATGAAAGAAGAAGCAACCATAAACCAACTATCATCAACTTGGATTAATGTTCCAACTATAGTTTCCCATGGTTTTCCATGATAGTTGCTTACAGTTTCCCATATGTATCCCATTAAGCTATATTGTCCGAATCAATTGAATTTCATGTAATATATTACTGGTTGGTGGTTTTGAACATCTTGAAAATTATTAGTCAGTTGGGATGATGACATTCCCAATATATGGAAAAATAACATTCATGTTCCAAACCACCAACCAGATATTGTCCGAATCATTTGAAAATCATATAATATATAATGACCATTGTTTCCCATGATAAAGAACCAACTGGGCCAACATTTTGTGGCTTTCTGCCACGGCGCAAGGATAATGCCACGGCCCATGGCTTCAGCATTCGGCTTGTAGATCCACTTCCTGACGGCTGGGGGCCTCAAAAGGATGGCCTCGGAAAATTTTGGGTGCATGTCTATTGCCTAAACTCTAACCCTGAAAAAAATCATCAATCAGAGATGATCAGATCAAATCAAGCCGAATCAAATCTATCTATCCAATGGAATCCATCTATCCATCTATTACATCCCATATTAAAGATGAGTATAGGTTGAATCTCTCAATGTTCCAATGGGAACATAAAGGGAGATCAAGCTGCAGCTATTCCCAAGGTCCCAAGAGGGGCTAACCCTCATTATACCATGGCCCCAGCGGCTTGTGCGGATTCGATTCTGCATGCCTTTTCCACTGCTCCTGCGGCTGTGGCCCACTGTTGGGAGCTGGACTTCGCGAAAACTTGACCAGCACGTGGGTGTGACATTGCTTGACCATAGATCTTCAACAGCAAGAACCTTTCGCAAATAAAAAGGACAGTTACCTGATATAACCAGAGGTCCTGTTAAAAACTTCCTACAGCACCTATGTAAGGCCCAAGGTAAGGTCCGTTCAAGGCAAAGATCCCAATAACATGGCCCTATAATCTCTACATCTACCGAAAGTGCCATAACATGGCCATCCCCCCGGGCACCAAGTCGTCTGGCAGGGCGAAGGTCAGAGGGTACCAGGGCGGTGGAAAGTTGATCGGAATATCTCTCTCAATACCTCAGCGCCAGGTTTATACCATATTGGTATAAAGACCAAACCACCAAACCAATGTTAATAACCCACAATGACATTTAAAAAAATGGTGATTTTCAAGTGCCAAGCCTCTTTTCTTTGTCATTATTGTCATTGCTTATGTCCCCCCATCCCCCCAAAAAAAGCAAGCGGATGAGTGAAAGCAACAGAAAAAACAGGACCACAACTAGTGAAACAACGGTAAACCAAGCGGTGGAGTTTGGAAATGGCGGCACTTTGCCCATCCATCGACTCTCCCTGCACTCGCGCTATCGGAAAGCGGCATCTTTCGCGAACCAGCTCCAGCATACCCACCTTATTGGAGAGTTTCACACTCATCTCAATGGCCATTTCAGGAACCTAAATTGGAGGTTCCTACCATATATAAGGCCTATTTTTCAGGGCTATGTAAGGGGATATACCCCCAAAATATGTCTAATATATGGTACAGTAGCTCCATTTTAGGATCCTGGAATTCCCATTGATCATCCGGTTGGTTTGCGGCATTTTGCGTCTACAAATGTGGTAAACCATGGTAAACCCTATTCTTCCCAGAAAAATACTGGGAAAAATATGGCAAAACCCAAAACCAGTGGATTGGGGGGCCCTACTCTTGAACTAAGACCTTATCAAATGTCAAAATTGAAATGCTCCAACTGAGCACCGGAAGGCGTGGCTTTGAGTTTGGCAGAAGTGACTGTTCAACTTTTCGGTTCCAAAAAATGGGTGATCCCTAAGAATCTACCGCATGATTTCAGCAAATAAGACCAACCAGTTGAACTCCAATTTTCCGCCCCCAGATTCCCCTTCCCCCCATGTTGGGTCAGCTGCCCTACCCTCCCAGTTCCGCGTTCTAGCGCGGCGCGCCTTGGTAAAGTGGTGCACTCCACTCAGGCGGTTCACCAAGCCGCGAAACTTCAAGGTGGGCGCGTGATCGATCATGTTCCTGCGCGCGAGCCGATGGTTGACCAGTTGCAGCACCTGAAAGTTTGGCATGCGATAACATTGTTAGTGTGTTGCAAATCGGTCATTATATTAAATAGATATAGATACAGATATAGATATATATATATATATATAGATACAGATACAGATACAAATATAGATCTATTATATAGATGTAGATATATATATATATATACATCCAATTTGACTTGATTGCTGACTTCCAAGGCAGCAAGCCAGGACGCCAATCCATCTGATTGAATCTGATGATCTCTCACCAAGGTCTTCATTTTAATCCAAAACAAGCTATTTTCATGCAATATCAAGGGATTGAACACTGATTCTTAATGGAGTCTAACTCAGTCTAACCCAATCACATCCCGGCCCTAACTAATTCCTAACGACAAATCGCTGCGCACAGGGAACCTTCGTTGATGGAATCTGGAGATGTTTTTTCCGACCCTTACCCTATTACCAGTGGATTTTAGCCCCCACCAAAGAGTGGGACTGGGGTTTTTCCCAGCGTTCAACGAAATTTTCCTGGATACCCTGTGGCAATTTCACACTTTGCGAACTGGAAAATCAGCTTGTGTTTGTTTTTTGTGGAAATCATCAAGGAAAAAACTCCATGGGCCCATCATTTTCGCAAAGTGCAAGTTCCCCAGTTTGGTGGTCCGCCCACCTGCTGGATTCCCAGATGAAGATGGGTGCGATGTCTTCCCGTGGCTTCACCACTTCTAAGGAGCCATCGGCCTGCTTCTTCAGCGTCGGCACTGGCATACCTGGGTCACTTCCAAGTGGTAGGGAGCAATGGTTTCGAGCCATTGAAGGCATCCAGGATGGCACCCTTCAATAAACTAACATAGCTATAGCAGCTCTGAAAAAATGAACCGTTTGTAGATGATTTGCCTATTGAAAATCGGCGGTGGGGATCCACTGAATCGGGATCTTCGCTAAGTCGTCGTCATACTCGTCATCAACCCACGAATGATATGGGAAAATGGAAAATCAGAAGGCACCAAGCAGTTAAATGTGGCTTCTATACCCAATGTTTCCCACAGTTTTGCCTCAGAATTCGCTATTTTTTGATGCTAAAACTGCCATGTTGGATCACTGAAGCCACGTTGTTGGTTAAATCCTCATCTTTTTGGCGAACGCAATGGCCATTTCAGGTCAATTGGAGCTACTGTACCATATAAAAGACATATTTTGGGGGTATATCCCCTTACATAGGCCTGAAAAATAGGCCTTATATATGGTAGGTACCTCCAATTTAGGTTCCTGAGATGGCCATTGAATATAGGTACCACCGATTTAGGTACCTGAAATGCCCATTGAAAAAAAAACAACCAATCAGAAACACCAGCTGGATGCTGGGTACGTCGATGTCCAAGCCACCCATGTAATCTGTGACCTGGGACAAGGACTCCTCACGCCCCGTCTTGGAGTCAACGGTGCAGGTCCAATTCAGTTCCTCGGGGATGGCAGGTGCCCATGGACAGGCCGATTGCTTCCCATCCTTCATGAAACACCCGCCTGTATGGTGCCAAATATGTATGTAAAATCCGCCCTACTACTAAGAAGAATAGCAACCAGTAATGTAGCAATAATGATAGCAATAGCATGCAATAATAGCAATAGTAAGAATCAAAGTAACAATGGCTATAAGAGTAAGAAGAGAACAAATATATAGCCAGACTGCAAAAGTAGTAAAATGCCACTATATTGTGTATATATATATATATATACGCTACATAAAAATTAACGCATAACGAATAGCAATACGGAATACCCAACTATAATAATAATACAGTAACAATAACAATAGTAATAATAGAAATAAGAATAACATAGAATAACAATAATAGTAGTAAGGATAATAACTCACAAAAATAATAACAATAATAATGTCGTGATAGTAATAATAATCCATAAGACAAAAATGACAACGACAATAATAAGCATAGTCCAACGGCAATAATATCATACTGGGAATAATGTATATATATATATACAGGAATATCAATGCGAACAACAATCCCCAATCCTGCCCTGACGAGGATCGCTAAGGACAGGTTCCAACAAGTCCACGATGGTCTGTGGATTCTCTGGGGAAATGTAGTATTGACATCCTGGGCAGTGGCCGTCACGTCTTGGGCCTTCGAAGCCTGAAACCCTGGGCCATTGCTCCAAAACCTATGGGGCAGAGGGAGCCTCCGGAGGTTGGTAGATTTAGTGACAAGAGGCACCCTTCACAGGAGGAAAATTGGGGAGCTGCTACTGAAGTTGAAGGTGGAGCCCGGAGTTTGATGAAACTGGAAGGACTTTTTTGTGTACGAACCAGACCCAGTTGATGCTACAAAACGACAGGCAGAAATTTGGTCTTCACTTTTTCTCACCCTCTCAGACCCATTCATGGTCATTTTGGCCCTCAGCCAAGCCCAGCTGGGCACCACCAGGTACCACCATCCATCAGCACGAGTGTCTCAGCTTGGGCTTGACGAAACCACCACTGTTGATGTAGCTCGCAAAGTCTGGCTCCGTCCAGCAGAACAACGCCTCGGGCGGCACGTAGCCTGGCCGGGACGTCGGGACGTTCAGGATGAAGGCGAGATGAACAGATTCAACAGTGGTGGAAGTTGCTGTTTTTCTCTACCCTCTGGTAATTTAACATAGCTATTGAAAATTGCCATTTATAGTGGATTTTCCCATTGAAAATTGTGTTTTTCCATAGTTATGTTAGTTTACCAGAGGGTATGTTTTTCCTCTGAATCTACCATGGAACTCATAAACTGTCAAAATGATTCAAAATGTTTCTTTCATCTGTGCCCCCCATAACGCCTGGAAAACGAGGGTTCTTCTCAACCGCGCGGCGTGTCCAGGGGTGGTTGTCTGCCAACTCCTGTGCATTCGCTGGCAGCCATCCAGACCTATCCTCCACTGGATATTGCCACTCCTGGTGCTGGCTGCAGGGTCTGAAGTGGATCTTCTACCACTCTGAAGCTTCCAAGCTTTCCAAGGCCTAGCCTAGTTTTGAAGAGCTTTCAGGAAAATGTGACAAGATGTTTAAACATCTTTAAACAACCTCAATTTGAACGGGCCGAGAAAAAAAATACGCCACAAACATCGGCCTTCTTGGCCAAGAAGGAGCCCTCCAAATCCCGTGGCACATCGTCCACTGAAGCCATTGCGGCTCCCAAAACCGGGGCGCGATGGTGGCAATGGCCAAAAAATCGCTGGAGCCGGGGCCGTGTTGTCCCACAAAAACATGGGAAATCGGCTTGAAATCGGCTTGAAATCGCCTGTGAAAAATGGGGGAAACCAACAGCTTCCCAAATCTTGCGACATGTTCTGTGGTATCTTCCGGGGTTTGGCAGGCCCAAATGCATTTTTGGAGCAAGTTCTAGAAATGGGACATTGATAGTTGATGGACATTCTACATCTGCGGTGGCATTCTAATCATTGTTGGACAGAAAATGCCGAAAAACATTATCTCATGTGGGTGGGAAAGTCTTAGCTCCTTGGTTCCCACGCAGCAGCTGCCCTGCGGCGCCCCGCGCGTCCTCTCTGCGTTGTGACGGACATCAGGAAAGTGCGCCAGACCCACCTGCGTTGCGAAAGGCTTGCAGAGGTGTCACTCGATGCGTGAAAAACATGGGAGGACCCAGAATGTATGGATTCAGAGATTGTGACCGTACTAACGTAGTCACGTAGTCTCCCCCTCTCTCTCCCTCTCTCCCTCTCTCTGACGTTTTTTTTGAAATTGTGTGTCTCACTATCCGGGTGGGTGACCACCCATAGATCTATTCGTAGTGGCCTGAATCCTGTTGGAGCAGGTTCGCGTCTTGCAGTATGAACCATCCACTCCAACATCCAAGACATCTTACAAGTTGAGACCTGCTTGGGCTGGTGTTTCTTGCAACTATCAAAACTCTTCAAAGGAGCCGAAAAAGCCCGTTTTATTCTCTTTTGTTCGGTGAATTAGTTGAACCCCCTCTACAACTTTCACCGCACAATGTTTGTATTGGTGCTTTTTTCTTGATCACAATCTCCGGTGTCAGGATTCAAAGCGCACAGTTTTTCCTCTCGGCCATCGTCCACATACAGCTGTCTGAGACAAGGACCATGCGTTTCAAAAGCGACCCTTGATGTTGTATCGTTTCTTTCCAGATTCGAATCCACGTGTAGATCGGCCCTTGATTTTGTACCTCGGATCATGCGCTTGCGGTTGATGATATACCCCCCAGAAGAATGTCTGCCAGGGTATGCTCTACATCCAAGGGGATGCTAACGACCTTATATCCTTTGTTCAATGACATCAAGGAAAATCAACGTCCGCGCCACCTTAGGCTTCCTCGCAGTCGTCATTGCATCAGTGCCCATGACGGCCCCTCCCCAACTGTGATAGTTGTGTCGGTTGCTCACCCTCCCCTTCCATGCTTGTGGCTACTCAATACCCCTGAAATCAGCCTGTTGGGAAAACTTGTTCAGTTGCAGGGGGTTGAAACTCAGTCAAAGACATGCTCTGCAGCAAACATACATGGCAACAGAAAATCCCACCAAGAGAAAAACCCACCGTTCGTAGATGATGTTCCTCATCCAAGTGGTATTTACTTGTTTATTGCCATCTTTCCCATGTCAGACTCCACAACTCACATTCACAACCACCAAAAATAAATGCATGGCTGCTAATGTGGCGAACCCAATGAGAAACCATACCCCCATTCACCCAATTCACCCATTTTCGTATTTTAAAAAAAACACCATGCCAACAAAATAGGGCTTTACCAATAGCCCAGGTGCCAGCCGGGGAAGCCGCGATACTTCACCCCAGTCCATTTCGCCTCGTACGGCATCAGCGGCTCCCGCTGAGTGACCTCCACTCCTTCGGGCGCGTGCGCCTCGACAACGCAGTCCCCGCAGCCAGTGATGGCCACCCAGCCCAACCCGGGGAAGACGATGTCGACGCAGGACTCGTCCCAGCCGGTGCCTGTGCCGGAGCTAGTGGCCTAGTAGTCGGCCCATGAGCCAGTTAGTGACTGGGGGGCAACCAAATGTTTATAATATATTTATACAATTTTATACACACATATATATATATATATTATATATATAATATATATATATATACATAATTATACATACATACTGATACTGGCTGGGCATTGGTCCCTGAGCTCACAAGCCCGGTTTTTCCCCCACCTGTCAGCTCGAAACGAGTGGATTTCCAGGGCAGCAACTCCTGGTAGCGTCGGGCGTCCACAGGCGGCTTCAGCTTGTCACCGGCCCACTCTTGACCTGAGCGAGTCCCGACTACATGCTACGGGGCCAAACCCGGTTTAACCCTGTTCACATCAAAATACCTGGGATTTATGGATAATATGACATTCAGTATAATATAAGAGGTATTGACCCATTCCCATATCCACAATTTGTCAAAAGTCATCATTGGTTGACAATTCATCAACCAGTATTAAACATGCCCAAATCACTCCCCCCGAATATGCCAACTTCTTGGAGAGTTCCACACTTGGTGGTTTATCCCAGTTAGTAAGTGGATAGTTCAGTCATGTTCAGTCCAGTTCTAACTGGACTACACAATCCTACTTACCCCACTTCGAACTGGGGCGCTCTGACTCACATTACTATCCCTTAAATTAAATAAACCATCAAATCAAAAATTTGGCTCAAAATTGGTATCCCTGAAATGAGATGGTTATATAAGTTCCTTAAAAAAAAGACCAATGGAATGTTGCGGCCCCCTGTGTCGGTTTTCTTTAACCAACGAAAACATCGCAGCAGATGATTCTCCACCAGTCAGTACTGTCAGGAGGCAGATGCGTGAAGCCTTTTCGATGCGCGTGCGGTGCAGCTTCACGTTTTCGGAGACGAAGACGGTGAACTGGTACGGCCTGGCGACGAGGGACCACGGGACCCATGGGATGGTGATCATTTTGTCGGTAACAGGAGAGGAAGTGCCTCTCATGCCCTCAGTGAAACACAGCTGGAAAATCCCCCAGCAGTTCCATGATTTTCCCCCAAAAAAAGGAGCTTCCCAGCCATGTTGGATGACCGCAGGGCATCCTGCGGACCATGACACCTGCCCCGCCTGCCCGACACAAAGTCCAAGCGCGCGAGCGCACCCAGAAGGAGGCTTCTTCCCTCATCCATGTGGAAAGTGAGGCGAACCGAGCCTTGCGACATCAAGGCTAATCTGCCAAACGTTAGTTGGGATCATCCCCAAAAAATCGGGTTGAAGAAAAAAAACATGACACCACTTTTTGTCGAAAGAAAATATATCAAGCATCCAAAATGGTCACAAATTCAGAGCCAAATTCAGAGCCCACAGCTCCTGTCGGTTGAAAGCCCTTAGCCCAGCCTCGCTTCTGCGGAATGATCTCCTGCAGAAACATCTCTCAGAAGCCAATCAAACAAAAAACAAGTCTGATATTGGGGGACTTGTTACCCTGCGAAGATTCAAGTTTCCAGTAGCAAGTCCCGTCAGATTCAGCAATTGTATCCACTGTAGCTTCACCATCTTCACAGCTATTGGCACCCTTCCCCACTGCTCCTTGAGGTCTTCCAAGGTGAGTTTTTCGGCAATGCTGCCAGGGACCAGCAACCCCGGCATATCAATCAGTTTGATGTTGGTTTGCCTCATGTCAGAAATCGGCGGAAATAGGCGGATGCGAGATGATGAGAGTTTTGATGACAGTTTTCATTGGCACAATCAGACACTATCACTATTTGTTGGCATCTTAGAGGTTAGAGGGGCGTGTAGCTTTGTGGTATTAACCATCATTTACCCACATTATCCTATTATCAACCATCATGATCAACAAAATCGATGATCAATTATGGTCATATCAGGTGGAAAGAAATCGGAGGCTCTGACACAATCTCAGCTCTCAAGGGTCCAACCCAAGAGAAGGATGACCAACTGGCAACTAACGGCAAATGCTCGAGGTTTGTGGTAGGCTCTTAGCATTTATTTATGTAATGTAATGCAATGTCATATAATGTAATGTATATAATGTAAAGTGTCAGTATAGTGCAGCATAGTGTAGTATAGTAATTATAGTATAGTACAGTTTAGTTGGATGGATGGATGGATGGATGGATGGATGGTGTTGTGCTACAATGTCAACATCCAAAAAAAATACATCTAATCTCATCCAATTATCTACATGGTCTGTAGATAGTCTATCTTTGTATGTTGCTATATGGGTTTGTCTGAAAATAGGGTATATTCACAATGAAATAGCCATTTAATAGGGATAGATAATGATCAGCAAAATCATTGGGAAAATGGGGTACACTATTTTCAGACACACCCATATCATTCCCTTAACGGGGCGTGGTGATCTGCCCATTGCTGCTCCAAGCTGCTGAAACTTCATGGCGATGGGTCTCAAGGTGGTTCCCGGCAAAACGGAGACCACGAAGCCCGATTGGTCCTCACCAGGGACGGGTCGATGGCGTACATGGTGCCTGTTGTTGGAGGAGATTATGGACATGTGCACTACATATATATATACATATATTACGTTATATGATGTTCGAAAAATGTAACACGTGAATGTAAATCATGTACCATGTTTTTGTTTCTAGAAGAACTACCAGTACTATAGACTTGCTACGCCGGGACAACGGAGCATCAACCCCTGTCCTCGGACAAGACCCGCCCAACACCACGTCGTTTTCGCAGAGTCAGGCGGTTCAAAAAGGAGGACTTTCCAGCGTTGGCGGCTCCAACCACGTAGTGGTCCTCGAGCTTAAGCCATCTAAACTTGGATAGATAGATGGATAAATAGATAGATAGATGGAGAGATAGAGCTAGAGATAGAGAAAGAGGCAGAGATAGATATAGAAATTAGATGCTATCACATGATATGACCCAGGAATCCAGGAAGAAAGCAATAAGGGATGCATCTCAACGGACATCATGCAGCCCAGACTCTCAAATTCAAGACGATCGCACGTGACTTTTACTGCATGACTTAGCCATGGACTGGCAAGATCGACAATATCTACATACAACTCCAAAAACTGCGTAAATTCAAATCCATTTCTCTGCATCAAATATCTAAGTACAGCATATCTAAGTATATCTATGCCTATCTGCCAGTGTGGCACACCATCCGCATCCCACAGTGCCCACAGCACGGTCCTCAGGAATACCTTTGGTTTCCAACAAGTCAGAGACCGGTTTCAAGCCCTTGCCCTGGTGACCTGGGGGAATGGCCCAATCCACCCTCTCGGCTCATGGTTGGTCCATAAAACATGGCTTAGCGGCCTAAGCCATGGAAAATCCCAGTGTCCGAGTGGTTGGTTTCCCTCACTTTTGCCCCATGAAACGATGATGCGATTTTCTGGATTTTCAGCACCCCATGTTAGCCCATGTTTGGACAAACTTACACATCAACCACGGGCAAACCTGGTGGTTTGGGTTGCCTGGGATCACAGAAATAACCCCAGGGAAAACACGTCACCGGTAGTGGGCAACTCCCACTGGAAATTCGGACGATGGTGGTTGAGTGAGAAACGCCGTATGCTTACATTTATTGGGGATCATCCATGTCATCCATCATACCCGATTTCCGCCATGGTTCTCAACACTGCCCAAATAGTACGACTGCAACAACCAGCCAGGCCACAGGAGATGGGAAAGACATCCATGATTTTGATCTTGTCCAACCCTGCCAGCTGTGCTTCTCTGGCAATCCAGCCCTTCACCCGAGGCATGCTGGCATCTTTCGGCAGCAAGTCGATCTTGTTGGCGATGATGCGGACCCGAATCTTGGGCTTCTTCACCAGCTCCTATATTACGGTGCGACGAAAGGGATCTCAGGGCCATCTTCAGTTCCTCCACATCTTCAGTTCTAAGATGAGGAATTCCCAACCTCCAGTAGACTAGTCCATTATGGTCCATTCAAGTAGGCAAACCAAGAGGTGGAGTATCCTGCACCTGGTTCCCCCCGTAACACACCTGTCCTGCGCTAGGTATTGCAAGAGTTTGAAGGATGGCCCGAAATCAAAGACGTCCACCACGGCAAAAATGGTCGCCTCCTGCAGTTTTCTCTTGGATGTTTCCAAGTTGGCCCCCTTGCTAGTCCTCAACCCCGAAAATCTGCTGGAAATCTTGGAGTCAGAAACCAGTTGTACCACTTCGCCAAGCTCACAGAACATCCAAGGAAATCAAAGAACTGGGGGAAGGGTAGAGGAAAATAGGCAGCGACTTCCAAGCTCACAATCCTACAAGTATGATAAGGTCAGTCAATGGTTTGCCCCCTCACCTTTGGCAAGACCTAGCCACAGAACGGGCCAGGTGAAGAGATAGGTCACAAGTGGGCGGGGAATCCTAGTTGTGTCACGGGCTACATGATACAAAACCGCTCCCCCAATATACTGCAAGTGATTGAATAGTCCCAGCTCCAGATCACATCCCGATTTCGCAGGTGAAACATGGTGAAACTCCCACCTTCTCAAGGTCTAAAAGGCCGAACCACCATTCATGTCGCTGACTTCTTTCCATTTTTTGTTGGTTAAAGTTTGCGAGTTGTATGCTGATCTTTCTAGCTTGATGGGATTCCAAACCAAATTGTTCTGCAAGGGGGGGAGTCTGCTTTATGCCAACATGCACCAACGAAACCACAAGAAAATGACTTCACGAGTGCGAGTATTCAAACGGATCCGGCCCTTCAATTCCAGCAGAAATCCTCATATTATCCATACATATCCATAATATCCATAGAAAGCCCCGAAAAAAACGTGTTTCTTTGGGGTTACGGTGATCATCTCCTTTTTCTGCCCATCACATGGAATCCCCTCCTGCGCCGGTCGCAAGGTGTCACTCAGCAGCGTTTCGAACGCCTCGGCCGTCAGCTCCTGCGCCGAGCTGCCAGCCGACGCCCCGGCCCCGGCGCCGCCGTAGGCGGGGCGCAAGACGTCGTCGCAGTCGTTGTAGTGCCACAGGCCCCAGCAGCGCATGCCTGGGATGGCTGGATTCAGGCGGTGCTTCGGTGCTTCCCTTACCCTTTGGTAATTTAAGCTATGCTAATATGTTCATAGGTTTAAATCAACTTTAAATGGGCAATTTTCCATAGCTATGTTAGTTTACCACAAAGTAACTTACAAAATGCCACAAAGAAATACAGAGACAGCGACAAGGCGCAGGCTTTGGCCAAAACTAAAGCCTGGTCCACACAACTACAGCATGACAGACCCAATTGGGCGCAAGAAAAAACCATGAAAGTTCTAGGGACCAGCCTTCGTGCTCGTCCTGCCAAGAACACTGCGGAAGAAGAGCATCGTTTGACAGCTGCGATTAGCCGTTGCAAACTTTTGGGTTGCCTTCCGGTATCATGGCGGCGGAAACTGGAATTGTACAAAGTTTTTGTCGTTCCAAAAGCTTGGTTTGGTTGGATTTCCAGATACCCACCGAAGGCAGCTGCCAATGCCTGCTTCAACAGTTTGACCCATGCTACTGGCACAAATCGCTTGGCGAATCCCTTGATCCGAGCGGTGCTTTACGGAGGTACATCTCATGCACATCCGGTGGTGGCAGTGAAAATGCTTCAAAGATTTGGTCGCATGAGGCTCACTGATTCCATTGCTTGGAGCAACCAGCCTGGGACACCAACACAAGTTTTCAGAAAATGGATGAAAGATTTGGAATGGATTGAACTGGCACCATGGAATTGGCGGCATGGTGATGTACAAATCTCTTTATCCCCTACCAGGGACACTTCAATGCAAGCTCATCAAATCCGTCAAATATGGCGACAAAGTGTCTTGACAAAATGGAGCTTGGGCCCTAGGCATGAGGCCGCACAATTTCAGAGGCGCAACAGCCCCCTGCAAATGAGAACTGAACTTGCTGCCGTTGATTTGGAAGCAGCTAGGAAAGCACTGGAAATTACTTCTGCTTGTGGCCGTGCCATCATGCTTGGTTCCGCTGTTTCTCCTGCCATGTATCATCAAATGAAACCTGACATCTCTCCAAAATGTCCTTGGTGCTCTTGCGCTATTGCTACATTCGAACATTTAGCTTGGAGGTGTCGTGGTTTTCCTGGAGCGGGCACACGCCCAGGAAGGCCAAACAATTTCTTGAGTTGGCGTTTTGCATGGCCAACCTGGGGAATGTCGAGATCCCAACACATGCGCTTGCTGAACTGGCTGGCGACGATACAGGAGCAGTTGCTCCTCCTTCGTTATGGCACTGGCGGCTGAGGCCGCCTCCCTTTATGCAGTTTACGGCAAACAAGTCCCTGGTGGACTTCAAGGGTGACTGCATATGTCAACAATGGTTTTTTTTTGAGAATATGCTTTTGGTATGCTGTTTAGTGGAGCTGAAGCTCAACGGTATGCCATCAATCTGCAGCTGAGATACACACACTCGGCCGTGCTTCCTTCCCCGCCCTCTTCAACTGCCCGAGATCATCACCCACAGGGGCTACCAATTGGGTCATGGCACCCTTCACTACGCTACGATCGAAGACCCAACCTCAGTTGCGGGGACTCTGCTACACCAGGGTAATGGTTTCTATGAATATCAAAGACTATCCCTACATAGGATTATCTACCAGTGAAACATGATCATTATCAGGCCACTTGTAATTGATTTAGATGCAGATCATCCGCTTGTTGGCTGAATTTTCACCATGTTGCCACGGCCATCCGCGAGCCGAAAGTAGTTCCTGGAATCTGCACTTCGATAGACTTCATCGATTTGAAATTGCTGGCCTCAGGTAGCCCGAACCAATCTAGCAGCAAAAAATGAAACATGTCCAAGAGGTGCTGAAAGAATATGGCAAGCCACCATATGTCAGAACAAACATATTTATACATTACACATTACTGTAATACATTCTAGATGCGTATTCACACATACAAATCCATAATATAATCCAGGTACATACCATGACAATTTGCCAAGAAAACTCCCACTTGGACTTGACACGGCTCCAAAAAGACCCCGCCCCAGTTGGGCCGTCCAAGGTACCAAAGACCAAGCTCTCCCCGGTGCGTTCAGCGTTCACGTCTGGAGCCTTGCGGATGTCCAGGTAGACGTTGGCGATCACCTTGAAGAACTTCTGATCCGACCTGGGGCAGAGGGCAGAGCTTTCTGAAAACGTGCCGTGCCAGCGAAATATTAACAACTGGCGTCGAAAACGCCAGTAACACACTTGGAAAATGTTACAACTGTTATATCTAGATTTATAGTTACATTATATTCGATTTCAAATCGCCAAACTCCCCAACAGGTCGACATCGAACCCCTCTTTCTGCAGTTCCCAACCGCCTGGTGGGCAATGAAAAGCTGTCACGTTCCTGCGCCCCATCCTGGATGGCAGCTTGGAATGTGAAGGAAAATGCCGATGTCACCAAGCGCGGTAGCGCGGTTGGTGTGTACTATACAGCATTGTATAAGGAGGATATCACCAGCAAAAACAAAAACAGCTTCCCAGCTGCACCTCTTTCAGCAGTAGCGCCACTTCATCTTCCGCGTTCAGCGGCATGGAGAGGTCTTCCTGCTCCTGCTTCACGAACTTGTCGGGCGGCACATAGCCTGAGAGCGAGGCCCCACCTTTTCCCCGGGGAAAATCAAATTGTCCCAGCGAAAAAAGTGTCTTCAACTGGTTTGGTTTCAGGAGGGAGTCAATGAATCAGCCGCCAACCAGCGGACCTAGATCTTTCAGTCCGAGGGGATTGAAGCATCTACAGTCCTGCAGTCCTGCATGGCATATCATGGCGTGCTTGAATTGGGTGCACATCTGGGCAATGTGGGCAAGACTCACCCCAAGAAATTGGCAAATACATCACAAACAGCACCAACTCTGTTGATTCTTGTGCGTCGACAAGAATCCAGAAAATCGCCAATCTCAGATACCCTGTCCAAATATATAACTTCTTGAAAAAGAGTAAAGTGCTAAAGTACCCCATGCAAGCTTTCCCTGCAGGCAAGGGTTCCAGGGTGAAATTATCCATCTCCAAATCTCAAGCAGGGACGGGGCTGCCAGGACCATGCGGTGCCCAACCCGACGCTAAAAGGAGAAATAGAAAATCTGTCTTTGAGCAGTTGCCAAAACCTCGTGTGGATAAATAAGTATGCATGTGCATGGGTTGGATCCCTCTTAATCCCTCTGAAACGTAAAGGGTTCCTGTAATCCACTGGTTTTGGCCACTGCTCATATTTGGCACAGCCAAGCTTGACCCAGAGCCATCTTGTCGGTACACTGTAGCTTCACACCACAGCCAGGGCAACAACCAGCATCCATTTGCAACACGAAATTCTCCTTCCGTTCTTTCAATTTCTCACTACGGATCTGCCCAAAAGGTCGCAGCCGCTGGTTGTCCAGGGGTACCTCCTCGTCAAACTGCGCGTCGTAGCCCGTGTAGTGGATCCGTGCCACACCGCCACCCACGCGCACCACTTGCGCTTCGCGCCAGCGGTTGGATGGGGCCAACACCTCCACTCTGGCGCCCTTCTTGCAGAAGTCCTCCACCTTGGTCGATCTTCTCCGGATACCAGAAATCCAGCATGAAAACCTTAACAACATTGGTAGATACCCGTAAAACACCATTAAATCAGTGGGGAAATATGGGGAAATACATGTCTTCAACTTCAACCCAACTTGTTGCGAGTCTGCTTTGGTGTTCTACCACCCCTGAGGAAAACGGCTAGTGCGCACACCAAAGTACATGGGGTCAAAACAGTGGGAAAATGACAATGTAGAAACATCCCAAGCAAAGAGAAGGTGAACATCCCAACGTGGACTAGCCTGTTCATGTTTCGATGTCGTGGGATCCACATGACCGAACAAAACCAACAAGAAATCATGGCTCTTTTCCCACTGATCGATGCTCCTGATTTGGTGTGTCACCCCAATGTGGCAAGTAGATGTTCAAACATCTGCCTTGGCCCATGTACTTCTCGGTGGAAAATCCCTTATATCTAATGACATGCATCCATCATGACATATCTTCCCATAATACCTTCCACACAATGACAAAGCCACACAGACCAGAAATCTTGGTTCATACTGGATCAGTGAAATCTTAGGGCCTCATATGCGTCCATATCTAGGGACGTTGTTAGAAAATAACTGGCTTAAGGAGTAGGGATCATCCAGAATCAATATGTAAAGAATAATGCGCTCCACTACATGCAGTTTTTCCCCCTTTTCCCCAGGCACCCTCTTCTCACCGGTGGCATCGGTGATTTTCACATCTGCTCTCCTCGCCACCCGGTCTCGGCGTTCTCGCCGGCATGCCGCGGCCACCAGCAGCCCGCCCGCGCAGCAAGCGCTGCGCCGTCGCGCCGAAACGGGCGCCACAGGCGCGGCTAGGCGCGGCGCCGAAGGCCGGGGCGCAAAGGAGGGCAGGGCACTGGGCGATGCCAAGGAAATGGCCCAGTCCATGGCGGCTTTTTTTCCTTTTTTTAAAGGTTTGGGGAATGTGAACAGCTGAAGTTGGGAAACTGATGGAAACTGAAACTGATTGACTGATGAAGACTGGTCTAAAGAGACGTTTAGGTGGAAAAGGTGGTGGCAACTGGAAATGGTAAGCATTTTTTATAAGTCTGTGGCCTTGAGGACTGTGGAACTGCGGAGTGATCACGATGTATGGGTCTTTTAGCTGCTCCAAGGCGGAACACCTAAATCAATGGACCCCAACTTGAATAGGACTGGTTGCCCATGTTTTTTCCTCTTGCTTTTTGACTCAGGAACGAGGGTTTTTACTCTTAACCCTCCGGCTGCAAGCCCAGGTGCAGTCACTTCAGACTTATCATAGACCACTGTTGGTCGTTGTCACAGGGGATGAAATTTGTGGACGCAAACGAGCCAAAAAGCTTGCCAAGGATGCCCCCGGTAATCAGCATGAATTTTCCCATTTGCATCCAGTTCTGGATGATTTTCTCATTGCATAACTTTTTGGGTACTAGTACCTGAGGTAAACCTCTAAAAATGCAAAGCCCCACGCCAATCCATCACCCCCGCTGCACCTGAACAGTCTGGGACCGGACCGCACCATGCACTGCTGCAGATCTTCCACTTTCTGGAAATTTCTGGCAATCAAGTCCATCAAATGCAACCTCAACCATGAGACCTTGTGGTTGGGGGTTGGGGAAATGACTTGTCTGTCGTTGGGGTGCTTGCTGTTTGTTGTTGGGAACTCTCAATCGAAACGGCTTCGGTTGAGGCTGGCAGCTGGTCCCCGCATCTGAGGGTGTATCAAATTTATGTATTATCATGTTCACCACTCAAATTGCCATTGGGGGCATAGCACCCCCCCAAAAATAGACAAGTATTCTATCATATTCTATCCCGCTTTCAATTGGATTTTACCCAAATCGACGGTATCTATTTGGAGGTTACAATGGGTTACCAAAAATGCCGCTTTGCCCCATAAAGCCACAGCCACATACCACCCCGAGACCCCAATGATCCCCGCCTGGTCCAACAGGCGACAGCTCAACCTGCGGATTCATCTGGACATATCTGGACAATAGCCTATCTCTACCGTATTTTCATGCATTTTCCCACCGGAAATATTGATTTCTTCAATGGCAAATTGATTGGTCCATCTAAATCTACACCTCTTTCTGCTCTGCATATCTCTTCATCCCCATATCAGACTGTCAGCAGCCGTGTGTCTCCCGATGGTCTGGTCCCCCCGAAGAGCGCCTCAGAACTGCTTCGTTGAAGGGCGCCCACGCCAACTCCGGATCTTTCAATCTGCAGGGCCCCGGGGCTCCTGGAGCAGAAAGTCACAGGACGTGTCTGGCCTTTGAAAAGAAAGCTTTTGAAGAAGCAAATGAAACAGAAGGTTGACTCTGTGAGAGACTTTTTGAGGTGACATTGCCAATCTTTGGAGATATTCATAAGGAATTGGAAGTAGGTTGAGCCCTCATATCAATTGAATTCTTTCCACTGGTGTGCGGACCACACATCACACCCAACGCGCGCCGCCCGCCTTCCGAATCCTCCGATTGCCACTTGAGAATCACCTGCCAGCAGCATTGTAAGGGGAAAAAAAATACATCTGGAAACCTATGCCATTGCATGTCAGAAATGAACCTCACACCTTCCAACTGAACCACTCCATCCAAATATCAACAACTTCATCATCTTCATCTTTTGCCATCATTCCTGCATCATGAATCATTACCATGTTTTAATCAATCTTCCCCACACAAACACTATACAATATACCCTCCATCCCATCCCCACCATCCCCACCTGTTCGGCTTGCAGCAGTAGCCAGTTGGGATCCTCCGCCTGGTCGCCCCAAAAGACGTTGGATCCTCGAGCCTCGTCGCTGAGCCCGCGGATGCCGATGCTGGAGGAGATGCCTCCAGCGACTGCTGCGACCACGGGGTCATGGTGTGATGGGCTGGAGTATCAAATATGAACATATGAATGTGTATATATAAATATATGTATGCATATGTATATATACATATATACCTATGTATGTCTGTCTGTCTGTCTGTCTGTTTGTCTGTATGTATGTATGTATGCATGTATGCATGTATGTATGTATGCATGTCTGCATGCAGGCATGTATGTATGTATGCATGTATGTATGTATATATGTATGTATGCATGTATGTATGTATGCATGTCTGCATGCATGCATGCATGCAGGCATGTATGTATGTATGCATGTATGTATGCATGCATGCATGCAGGCATGTATGCATGATTATGTATGATTATGTATGATTATGTATGATTATGTATGTATGTATGCATGCATGTATGTATGTATGCATGCAGGCATGTATGTATGTATGCATGTATGTATGTATGCATGTATGCATGCATGCATGTATGTATGATTACAAATGATTATGAATGAATATGTATGATTGCGTATGATTATGTATGATTATGTATGGTTATGAATGATTATGTATGATTATGTATGATTATGTATGATTATGTATGGTTATGTATGGTTACGTCTGATTATGTATGATTATGAATGATTATGTATGATTATGAATGATTATGTATGATTATGTATGATTATGTGTGATTATGTATGATTATGTATGACTATGTATGACTATGTATGAGTATGTATGATTATGTATGATTATGAATGATTAGGTATGATTATGTATGATTATGTATGATTATGTATGATTATGTATGGTTATGTATGGTTATGTATGATGATGTGAGATTACGTGTGGTTATGTGTGATTATGTATGATGGTGTATGATTATGCATGATTATGTATGATTATGTATGATTATGTATGACTATGTATGACTATGTATGACTATGTATGATTATGAATGATTATGAATGACTATGAATAGTTAAAAAGGATTATGAATGATTGTGTATGAATAAGAATGATTATGTATGATTATGTATGTTTATGTATGGTTATGTATGATTATGTATGATTATGTATGATTACGTATGGTTATGTATGGTTATGTGTGATTATGTGTGATTATGTATGATTATGTATGATTATATATGGTAATGTATGATTATGTATGCATGCATGCATGCATGTATGCATGATTATGTATGATTATGTATGATTATGTATGATTATGTATGTATGTATGCATGCATGCATGCATGTATGCATGATTATGTATGATTATGTATGATTATGTATGATTATGTATGTATGCATGCATGTATGCATGCATGCATGCATGCATGTATTAATGTAATGTAATGTAATGTAATGTAATGTAATGTAATGTAATGTAATGTAATGTATGTATGTGTATGTATGTCTGTCTGTCTGTCTGCCTGCCTGCCTGACTGCCTGCCTGCCTGTCTGTCTGTCTGCCTGCCTGTCTGTCTGTCTGTCTGTCTGTCTGTGTGTGTATGTGTGTATATATACCAGCTGCGCTTACGCTCAGCACAGGGAGTGAATGAAAATTAGCAAAGGGGAAAACGGAGCAGTATGCTGGATATTTATGATCCAAAGCTTTTCGCAGGAACTGAATCCTCAACCGTTCTGCACCTCTCCATTGAAAATACAGAGATTGGGTCATCTTTTTACGACGGAGAAGCCTGGTCAACTACATCTTGGATGAGTTTTATAGCAACCCCAAAAAAAAAAGAAAACGGAAAGTAGCTCAGTTCAGTACTATTTTTAGTTTCGGATTTGACTTTTCTATCTTTTCGAATTGTTTTTTGGTTTACAGAAGTGATTCTTCAGATTTGTTGGGGCCATTGGGGCCCCCGACCTGGAGAAGCGGCCGCTGCTTGAGCCACGTGGTCCTGCCACTCTTTGGCCATCAGCTTGCAGCAAGCTTCTTCCTGAGGGCATCAGGGAATTCCAACAAGACAATGGGGATTGATGATAATTAATAGTGGGGTGAAGAATGGTTGAGAATGGTTGAGGATGGTTAAGAATGTTTTGTGATGGTTATAATTTATAATGATTAACCCATAAATACAATAAAGGGCACCCCCCAATGGTAACCTAAGCCCCTATTGTTGTGGTTGATGGTGGTTAGATGTGGTTAGCAACCACGAAACATCAGGCTGTATTTCATTGGCAGACCTGGCAGAAGGCGTGGTGAACTCACCAGCTTTCTGGTGGCGAAATCGACCGAAAAAAATGCTGTCCATGTTTGATGGTAAACTCTCACCATTTTTGCCTGGTGAAATCCCTATATAGTTGTTGGCCAAAAAAACACACACAAAAAAAAAAAAAAACTGAAATCACCCAGGAAGAAAAGTATGTGTGATGATTAGAAACCAATGTGTCATCCCAAAATTATCTTTCTTGCTGATACACTCCCAATTTCTCGATCAACTTCCAAAATCTCGCTCCAATCTCAAAAAAAATCGGCTCAAGCCCAGAGAATCCCCAAAAACCAGGTCCCTTGCTGCGCCAAAAATCCCCCATTTTTCTCACCCCAAAACCCCCGCACCCTCGACCCACGTCGACCCAGCGTCCCAGCGGTGCCGGAAGCAGGGCTCCGGCGCCAGCTCCGCCAGACGCTCCGCGCAGCTGCTGACCTGGGCGTCCACCTGGCCTCGTCAGCAAGAGATGGGTGGGGCACTGTTTTCACCGAGAAAAGTTGGCTGATAATTTGGGAAATTGTGGATTTGACCATGAAAAATGGTGGGAAATTGTGGACTTGACCCTGAAAAACGGTGAGAAATTGTGGATTTAACCTTTGAAAAATGGTTCATTTACAGTACCTCATGGCAATCTTATTGTTGAAAATGACAAACCATCACCGATATAGTGGTGTCTTAATGCGGCTATAAAGAGGGAAAAAAAAGTGATATACTATGAAACATGCAGTGGATATTGTCTGAGATGGTGATTTCACAATCATTTTTTCAGCATCAAAATAAAGGGTTCATCACTGAATAACGGATGTGGGTCCAAACATGGATTTACCCCCAAAATGAGCCAACAACAATCTGGACATAACAACCAACTTACCCCATGTCTTCAATGTAGGAACTTGAGGAACCACCAAGTGACAGCTGCTTCGGGGTTTCAAAACCCAGGCTGGAAGATCCCTGGGCTGCGGGCAAACCAAGGCCAAGGAATCGGAAAAGTCCTTGGCAAACCAGGGCCAAGGCCAAGAAATCTCGAGGTTTTTCATAGCCAATCGACCATCATGCCCCGCAACACCACTGCCCTGCCACTTGGGGATTTTCGCCATATTTCTTTTCACTGGATGGCATCACTATCTGCAGAACTGTTTCTTCACCCCCAATGTTGGTGCTCAACTGAGCTGGCCCAAGGCACTTGGACAACAAATGCCCTTCTTCAAACTTCCAACCCCAACTGCAAAACACCAAATCTGCATGCATGTTGCTTAAATCACAGCACTTTCTTGGTCAATTGCATCCCTATATGTCCTCTTTGTTTCTTAAAATCACAATGTTGATCCGGTCACCTCTCAGGTTTTCAACTGTCATGGTCAACCCTTCACCCACCCACTGAGGCCCGTTCCAGCAAACCATCATGAGTCAACGCCACTGGAAGGCCCTCCATGGGATTGGCCAACATGTCTTCAATGCACAGCTGTGGGTCTTCCTCCATCTCAGGGCCTGGAGCGCTACCACTGGGAATTCGGAAGGGAAACGCCACGGAAAATCATGAGATAGTTAAATGACCAATATGCCCTAAAAAAGACAAACAAAAAAAAGTAACATCCGACTGAAATAGTCATAATTGGATCTGTCTTTTTGGGGGGTCACCAAAACCTGGCAGTTGCTATGTGCCAAACAATGACGTGCTTAGGATATGTATGCATACATATTCTTTCTACAAAAATTGCATCTGTAAAAACATGAAACCAGATGCCAAAAAATGTGCACACACATATAATTACATACCCTCTGGTAAACTAACCTAACTATGGAAAATCACCATTTTTCATGGGAAAATCCACTATAAATGGCCATTTTCAATAGCTATTTTGACATAACCAGAGGGTACAGTATAGCCACCCCCGAAAAAATGCCGAAAAGTTGGAAACCTGGAACATATCGGGTCAACCAGGTTCCACTATCCTGTCTTTCTCGGGAGTTGCTATGCATAATCATTCCATTCCACACCAACCAGTATTCCATATAATCTCCAATCAACTAGTGAGTTATGCTATAATCATACTATATTATATATATATATATCTCTCTCTCTCTCCTGAATAATCCCGTTTGTAATCCCATCTATAATCCCCACTAATCCCATTTAACTATGGGATCTCAACATATTTCAACCACATCTTCCCCCACCTGCGAGCTCCGTGGGTTGCTTGCCGGCTTCCCGGCTGGCTCTCTCCCGCTGATGCCCCAGATCCAGCTCCAGGCGCCTCGGCCGAACGGGAAATCACGAAAAAAATCGCCAAATTCAGAGATCCATAGGAAAACCACAGGAAGACCATAGGAAAACCATAGGAAAATGGAGGTTTTAATGGGAAAACCATAGGAAAACCATAGGAAAACCATAGGAAAATGGAGGTTTACCCTCTGGTAATTTAACATAGCTATTGAACATGGCCATTTATAGTTGACTTATGCTGATTTGCCTTTTAAAAATTGTGATTTTCCATAGCTATGTTGGTTTACCAGAGTGTAACTGCTATCTATGGAGAAAAAATTGATCTCCAAATATGGAGATATTTAGTTAATAAATAAATAATATCCATTGTTTCATGGAGGATATCTATGGATCTCTAACAAAAAAATTCGATCGAACAGCCCTACGATTTGACCACACGACGGGACCAGTTCAAAAATGTCGATGGCTTGTCGACCCAAACGGCCCAAGAGGATCCGAAATTTACAGTCAAAAATAAAATCCAAGATATTCCAAAGACTATTTATGTGTGTTTCAGAGATTTTACAAAGAATCCTGATTGTCACCATCATGTGGGTTTGTCTGACAATAGGGTAGATACTCCAATATCCTATGGTTCATCACGTTCCCCACTAAAATTACCATTGCTTGAAGGTATTGTTTAAAATCTCGGACACACCCAAATCCATCTTTCAAAATCCGTAGGGTTGAACATTCTCAACCATGAGTCAGGGGTTAAATCCAAATTGTTGATAGATCAACCTACATTATACTATTAGATCACCATTTTTATATACATTTATATACATACATAATTTAATCATTATTGTATTCCATAGGTCTATAATGCTTCAAATCACATGGTTTTTGGCTGATGAATTGCCACCGAATCATGGCACTCCGTGACTCCGTGACCACCGAGCAAGGCGCCGCCCACAGCGCAGGGCCACTTGCGCTTGACGTCTCAACTTCCGTAAGCCCATCTCCTGGACGAGAGGTGGTTGAGGGACTCATGAAACGCTTGGGATGTGTGCGTGTGTATGAACATATTATATATATATATATATGTGTGTGTGTATATATATATTTATATATTTATATTTATATGTATATGTGTGTGTGTGCATATCTCTGTGTGTGTATGTGCTTGTGTATGTGCTTGTGTATAAAAATTCGTTGATTTGCATCCGTTCATTTATGGATGGGTCATCCTTTTGGTACCAGGAATTTTAACATAGCTATGGCCCGTTGATTGATGATTTACAGTTGATTTACCTATTACAAACGGTGATTTTCCATAGCTATGTTAAATTACCAGAGGGAAATCATCATGTTCATTCATTTTCCATGATATGCCGATATGCCCATCAAAAAACAAATGCTTAAGTCACTTAAGTCATCAGTTTTCATGGTTCCCCCAAAAAAAAAATTGCTCTCCATGCCCATATCCACCGCCTCCGATCGAAGCTGGTACTCTGTCAAGGTCCTTTTTGGTTGACCGAAACGGTTGAGCCACAGGTCTTCCACCAAGGTTTTGAAGGGAAAATTCATGGGAAAATTCATGGGAAACCATAGGCAAATGGTGAATCAATGGGAAAATATAGTGAATCTACCATTTTTGAATGGGAGGATAATGGTGAACCAATGAGAAAATCATGTGAAAATATGTGAAAATATGGGAAATCCTCCAACTAAATAGAGCTTTCAATGCTGGAAGAGTTGTTTTTTTTGGAGCAGATGAGGATACATTGGATACATGAGGCCAAGTTGAAACAAACCCAATCTCTTGACTGTGATCAGGTTCAAAATTGAAAATGTCCCAGGGCTATGGGACAGCCTGCAAGAAGGCAACATATGTCCATTGCGTATGAATAAATTCCCATAGATTCACCATTTTGGAAGTTACTCTCTTTACGTGTTGCCCCTCTGTTTGGTAGCTCAAATATCCCAACATCATGTTTGCCCAGCTCCACCTTGCCCATTCAACCCTTTTTTTTCCTCATTATGGGTTACCTCGTGGTTTTCCCCGGAAACCTCCGTTAATGAATCCATTGCAAACCCACCTGACCACGATTTCCCCAAACAACGAATGGATTCAGATTCTGAAAATGACGAAGTTTGACGGTTCAAAAACGCAATGACAAATCATTAATAAACTGATCAATGATATCCTCACAATGTTTGAAGGGTAGAACTGGCTAAACCACCAAAATCCCTATTTCAATGATGGGTGAATGACTAACCAACCATCATTTCCCGATCATACGATTTGTTTGATTGCTATATGTATAAATGGGTTTGTCTGAAAAAAGGTAACCCCTGTCCCCATTACCACTATTGTTGGGCATCCTCCAATTTCACACCCAAATGATTCAATCCCCATGAATTAAGACCTTGCCATGAGTTGGGAGCAGATGAGTTTCCACTCAAAATTGCTGTTGAAATCAGGGTTGAACTGTTAATTTACCGGCTACCCTCTGGTTATTTAACATAGCCATGGTATAGATGGCCCATTTATAGAGGTTTACCTATTAAAAATGGTGATTTTCCATGGCTATGTTGAATAAGCAGATGGTAATTTACCAGCTAAGTTCCGCCCCAGCATCTGTTGCAGTTGAGCTCTGCTCTCCATCGCCGCAATCAGCGCGGCATAGCCTTGCCGGAAGCTGCCTGTGGCCACGTCGAAGCCTCAGTACCCGCTACCCTCCCGCTATTTCACATAGCTACAGTATAGATGTTCCCCGTTTATAGATAAACATGATGATTTACCTATCGAAAATGATGATTTTCCATAGCTACGTTCACTTGCCAGCGGGTAAACATCCAGTTTGTGAATAGGGGTGGTACCAATTCTAATGGCAAGCTGTCCCTATTTGGGGACCCCTCCCAATTAACCGACAGAGTTGATTCGGGGCTGGCATGATCAACCTAATAGCTGCATTGTTTTTCCAGCAAGCCTTGTTTGAGGGTACAGCAATGGTGAGCCAATGGGGGTGCATCAGGTGGATAACAGCTGAAGTAGAGACATCTACTGGAATATCATTGGACAAGGTTAGTAACCCAAGAATGAACGCCAATTGGGAGTGGGTTGGCATGTCCCGCAAATGAATAAACCCAACGATAACTCCCATTTGAGTTTTATCATATAATCATTGGATATAACAATATTGAGCTTATAACCATTTATCATTTGGATCCATCGGGGGGTCATATTTAACATGGTGTAACCACTATTCATGCTTCAATATTATGACCCCCAGATCCAAATGCTTCTCTACATCGCCCGACTAAGATACACCTCCGCTTAGGGTCCAAATCTTCAAGCTTGGTTGCTGGGATATTTTACCAATGTGGATACAACACTGCCATCTGCACCATCTCCCAGTCATCACCATTTTTATAGGTGGTATGTTTATCATTCCCAGTCATGGGTGGTAAACATGACATTGTTTTACCCACATGATAGGTGGTTATGAATCGATTTATCCATCATTTAGTTGGATCAATGTCCTAACGAACCAAACCTCCATTGAGCTTTCCAGATACTTTTTATCCACATTGGGTTGAGATCATCCCTTCCCTTCCGCACCTCTTTCTCAAAAACCCAGTGGCACGGCCGCCGGGCCAAGACATCCATGATCCGTTGCGCGATGTCCCACCTTCGGGCGAAAGCGTTGTGCTGGTTTTTGGGCGAAACGGTCACTGGGGTTGATGATGTTTGATGTAGGGCAAAGCTACAAACCTACACAAAACGATACAACTTTAAAAAAAAAATCTGGTGTCTAGTTTGGTGCAAATGGTACAATTATTATCTAATTTTCCAGTCTTGCGCACGTGTGCAAGAGGGGAAAATCCACAAACTTTCCATCAACTGATTGGAGGTTGAAAAACCCCCGAATTAGTCCATCAGCTCCACCGAAATACACATCTAACAACCACCCACCCAATTTTTTTTGGCACAGCAACCATCCATACCCTCTGGTAAACTAACATAGCTATTGGAAAATCACCATTTTATAGCTGGGAAAACTCACTATAAATGGTCATTTTCAATAGCTATGTTGAATTACCAGAGGGTATCATCAATCAACTGAATCAACTGATGTTTATCCGAAATGACAAGCAATCATAGTGCGATTGCAATCTCCAAACGCTCGAGGCTTCCTGGAAATCCCAGGGACGCTACCCTCTGATCAAACATGGCTTGCCGGAAAACTGCCAAGTTAGTTCGATGATTGTCCCATTCAATGCCCATTATGCCATAGGGCTTTTTTTCCCATGAAAACTGTCAAGTATCAGGGATTTCCAAGCCAGTCATTTTCGATTACCGGGTCATACCCACCATTTTTTGCCAAGAAGCTTGGTCAATGAGGCGCGTTCGAAAGCTGAGAGCTGCAATTTCACCAGTTTCCACTTGGTACGACACAGCTCCACCTGGGCCATGGAAATTTACGGATTGGTTCAAGGGACATCTACGGTTGAAGATCCAACGGAACTTTGAAGGAAAACTTTATATATATATATATATTTGTTTTGCCGGCCACCTAGTTGGGGGTTTACTGTAATTTTTCCGTTAAACCAATTTTTTGGGATAAAAGTAGTGCTAAACAACGAGAGATTTGAATGGAAACCACACCAAGGGATGGAAAAAAACAAGAAGAAAATTGCCACAAGTGGTGATTTTACAGTATCATGAGTTTGCTACCCCGTTTCTCACAGGAAGTGTTGACTTTGGACTGGGCCTCGCATGTAAGAACCTCCTTCAAGAGACCAGCACAGTCAACCTCGAGGTCGGACAGGGATTGCACCAGTGCAACTGGGTAAAATGTTGGTTTATTAATCAAAGAACGAATTCAGGTGATTGAATGATTGAAACAGAAATGCGAAGAGCTAACATTTTATCACCGAAAAAACACGAATTTCGCATCAACAAAGTGCTTTCAATCAACAAGAATGAAGGTTCAACGTGCAAAAGAGGGGATTTGGCCAACGGAATTCCGGAGAAGTCGCCGCCTGCAGGCCTTCAAGAACTAGTTCCAGTTTCTGATGAATTTCCATATGGCCATATGGTACCACGACCTAACGGTCGTGGTAACACACTATCATCATTTTCTGTTGAGTAAGATCGCAATCTTTTGGATCGTAAACGGTGGGGATGATAAAATCATATAGAGCCACATGATTTTGGTGGGGAAAATGACCCATCTACGTAGCTAAGATGGAACCCCAGGCCCGCAACCTCAAACCAGCCAAAGAGCCATCGATTTCATGTCCTCTGGCACTTTGTCCAAAGCATAACTTGCTATGATCAGCAGCTCCTGGAGCCGCTGCTAGAAATTGGAGGGATCTGTTTTCCCCAAAAATCTGGCCATTGTCCACCTGCATACTCTCTCCGGCAAAGAAACATTTCAAAGTGGAAATCCACTTTGCATGAAGACCATGGTGTTCTGTCCTAAATTGACTCTTCAAAAGCCACTTCTCAATAGATACCACATGACATGACTGGGCCAAAATGAAGAGATCCGATACCAAAAATGCTAAACCCCAGCCGTTTCGCTTGGGAGATGGTTGACGGGATGATCCTCCCCTGACGGGACGATGGGACTGTCCTGCTCCACGACCTTCAAATCGGAGATGGCCGAACTGTGCACGATCTTCAGGCCATTGCCATCCACCACGTCCTGAAGCTGCCCTTAGACGTGCCCCAGCTATGTCATAGCTGCAGGTCTCTGCAGGTAATGACTTAGGGCCTTAGGGATTTTTTTGTGATCCAAAAAAAGAATGAAAAAGATAGAATGACTTATGAATGACTTATGGTGATTTACATTGATTTACTGTTTCTATCTGGTTGATTCTTGAGGGTTACTAGACTCACCATGATGGTGGATATTGATGGCTTGGATCGTCCCAAGTGGGATCTGCCGAAGATCTTCGTCACAAGAGTGGGATGTCATGCTTTGATATCCCCAAAATAGGAGAGAAACATCTTCCAATCAATGGTAATTTCAGGATCCTAAAATGGAGGTACTGTACCATATAAGGCCATATTTTGTGGGGATATTTCCTTACATAGGCCTTACATAGGCCTTATATATGGTAGGTACCTCCAATTTAGGTTCCTGAAATGGCCATTGATCCAATCTACTTGGAAAAATTTTTGGAACAAGTACAGTGGATTTGGGTCATTGCGAATTTTCCTAGGGAATTTCTAAAGTTGAAAGCCGGCAGCCAAAGCCGTTCTTATTCCGATTGGTGGTTTCACACATCTCCAAATATGCTCGTCATTGGGGATCATCATGCCCAATTGTGGTTGAAACATGTTTCCAAAAAAATAAAACCATCAATCAGATTACCAGCCACATACTCATATGGTGAAGAAAACATTTGGCTACAACCAGCCTCCAGAGGAGCAACCCCCCCCCCAAAATCCGTGCTCCTCGTGATCATTGGCACCTGTTTGGGCGTACTCCTTGGTGCGCCGCGCCACATTGCGCCCCATGGCCCCCATCGGTAGATAAGTTGATTTATAACCAGGCAAGCTTCAAGGTTATGGGGGATATATACGGATACATGAGATAGATAGATAGATAGATAGATAGATAGATACGGGAGGATAGGGTAGGATAGGGTAGGATAGGGTAGGATAGGGTAGGATAGGATAGATAGATAGATAGGGTAGGATAGGATAAGATAAGATAAAAGATAGGTAGGTAGATAGATAGAGATAGATAGAAATAGATAGAGATAGAGATAGATAGATAGAGATAGATAGATAGAGATAGATAGATAGAGATAGATAGAGATAGATAGAGATAGATAGAGATAGATAGAGATAGATAGAGATAGATATAAATAGATAGAGATAGATAGATAGATAGATAGAGATAGATAGAGATAGATAGAGATAGATAGAGATAGATAGAGATAGATAGAGATAGATAGAGATAGATAGAGATAGATAGAGACAGATAGAGAGAGAGAGATAGATAGATAGATAGATTAGATAGAGATAGATAGATATAGATATAAATAGATAGAGATAGAGATAGATAGAGAGAGATAGAGAGAGATAGAGAGAGATAGATAGATAGATAGAGATAGATAGAGATAGATAGAGACAAATAGAGATAGATAGAGATAGATAGAGATAGATATAGATATAGATAGATAGATAGATAGGTAGATAGAGGTAGATAGAGGCTAGATAGATAGATAGATAGATAGATAGATAGATAGATAGATACATAGATAGATACATAGATAGATAGATACATAGATACATAGATACATAGATACATAGATACATAGATACATAGATACATAGATACATAGATATATAGATATATAGATATATAGATAAAGGTCGAACTAGATAATCCAACATATTTCTGGGCACATGGTGCCATATCTTCCGCTCCCGCTCCAGGTACCCACTCCTGGCGAAACGAAATTGGCACCCCAGCGGGACGTTCCCTCGAGTCATCATGATATTCGAGGGGATGTTCACTAATTAAAAATAGTGGATTTACCCATTAAAAATCGTGATTTTCCATATTTATGTTAGTACCATTGCTGGTTGGTGGTTTCAACCCCTCTGAAAAATATGAGTTCGTCAGTTGGGATGATGACATTCCCAACTGAATGGAAAGTCTAATCAAATTCCATGGTTCCAAACCACCAACCAGCTACTCTTTTTTTTTTTCATTTAACAGATATTTCACCGTTGGCCAAGTGGAAAAATCCCATGGGTGTTTCTCTGTACATCATCCTTCACTACTCGGCCATGGATCCGCCTCCGACAGGACTTCCAAAGCCTCGTATAGGCGCGGCCCATTCATACCTGACGGCCATGGCGATCGTTTCAATCCCATGGGGCCACGGTCAGGTCATTGGATAATTGACATCATTGGGGGGTAAACCCACATGAGCTAATTCAATGGGAATTTCAGGATCCTAAAATGGAGGTACTGTACCATATAAGGCCATATTTTGGGGGTATATCCCCTTACATAGGCCTTACATAGGCCTTACATAGGCCTTATATATGGTAGGTACCTCCAATTTAGGTTCCTGAAATGGCCATTGACTAAATGTGTCATCAAGAAGTATGTGATACCCAAGTGGATCAAGATCTACCAGGTGCGGAAGTCCAGGTGGTGCGGATCTACCATTTCTACATCAGCTCCCTTGGGAATCCCATGGCTTTTCTGTAAACTATGTTAGTTTGCTGGATGGTAAGTAACGTATATATAGATACATATATAGATATAGATATATATATATATATAAAAATATATACAAATAGATATATACAGGATGACTTTTTTATATACACCCAATTACGCATAGGCCATATAGGCTGTAACCAGTCATCAAATGTTATCACCTAGGATGCCAATCGAAGTAGTTCGTCACGGCCAGCTGAACCCCTTTTCTTGCGGCTTCACCCTCCGATTCTTGGGGTGTTATCCACCCTCAGCCTCCCTTTTCTCAAATTTGAAGTCTTATCCACCGATTCCTCCAATGTTGTTTTTCAAAAATCCGAAGCCTTCGAAGCAACAAAGAAATTGAAGGATTCGCCAAGATGCCACCCGACTGCGGTGAAAATTTTCAGGTTTTTTCAGCTCTTCCCAACCGCCCCACCTCGGCAACTGACCGGAAAGGCGAGCGGAAAGGAGGGCGGCAAATGGCCCGGCAGCAAGGGCTGTTCCTGGCGTTTACGCGTCTGGTGGGTTTGCCACTCACCAAGTCGGGTACCAATGAGGCCCCTGAATTTTCTATTCATTTCAACCATATTAGATCATTCATGTTTGGGTGTGGTAGCTTTGACCCTGCTACTAGTACCCTTGTATTCACCCATTAAGCCACCATAATTTTGGGGGACTCCAGTCCAAATGCTCGTTGACTTTGCCTGTGCTGGCTCGGGCTTCTCGCCGAAAATGTCCTCGCAGGGTGGCTGATGAAAAATGATGAGGAACATATGGGGATTTCCATACATGTGGATACCCCAATAGCTGGATGGTTTATAATTGAAAATCCTATTGAAAATTGATGATTTACAGGATGGTGCCCCCCAGTTATAAGTTGGTTTATAAACCCCATTAACTATAGTTATATCTACCATAAACCATAGTTATGGGAGTTATAAATCAACTTAACTAACTACGGGGCACCACCTTGTAGGGGTACCCCCATTTCAGGAACCCCCCCCCATATGCTTCTGAGTGGGTCCTTCTTGTTTGACCTGGTGCCATTGGTGGCCGACGCTTGCAGCAGGAGCACGCCATGGGAGATCTTCTGCTGAGCGAAGCGGAAGAGATTCAGCAGGCCTTCGTGGTGCTTTTGGCGCTGGGGATGATACCATTGATGGGAGAAAATGGGAAAACAATGGCTAGTTGGTGGGTTTAACCATCTTGAAAAATATGAAAGTCAGTTGGGGTGATGACATTCCCAATATATGGAAAAAAATGTTCCATGGTAAACCATCCCAGAAAAGGAGATAAATAGTAAACCATCCCCAGTTTTACCATTGATGGGCTGTATAAATTGTCAAAACATTGGTGGATTACTATCGCTTTACAAACGGGGGATGATGAGCAAATCTCAAAAATCAGGTAAATCTTGAAGATCCGTCAAGCCAGGGGGGTTGCAACATGCTCCGAATATCCCGGCTCCAAGCGATTTTGAAGTCATGGAATCCCAGTCTGCACCTAAAAGTTCGCGCCGCAGATTTCGGGCACACAGATGGCGCATCATCAAAAATGCCTCGCAGCATAGGAATTCAAACTGGTACAGCCCCAAGTTATCGTTCCCCCATACCCTCTGGTAAACTAACATAGCTATTGAAAATGGCCATTTATAGTGGATTTACCCATGAAAAATGGTGATTTTCCATAGCTATGTTAGTTTACCAGAGGGTAGGTCTTGGTTCAACCCCATCTACGTAGCGCAATGTTTTCCATCGTTCAGCACGCCTTCAGCAAATGCTCAGGTGACTCCATACCTGCAGGCGGCTGGGGAACTTCTCCCAGAAACTCACCATAGACTTCGGATGACTTGGGATAATTTGACCATTTCTGGTGACTCCAAAGTAGTACCCTCTGGTAAACCATACAAAAAGCTATTGAAAATTGCCATTTATAGTTGATTTACCATCAAAAATGGTGATTTTCCATAGTTATGTTTGTTTACCAGAGGGTGAACAATCAGTTTAGTCCAAGACTCATGGAAGAACTTAGCTTTTCCCGCTCCAAATCATTGGCCCAAATTTTGTGTTTAGCATTCGTCCTGTTAACATGAGAACCTGTTGCCGCGCTGGTTGGCCCAAGTGGTGAAGCGATGCAACAGTGTTTTAAAGAAATCCGCGATTGAGCTTGGTCTGCATATTGCAGTTGGACTTGCTTCGCTGGCAAAAAAAAATCGATCCCAGGTTAATAGAAAGCACCGCCTGAAGATTCGCCCTCGTCTTCCTCCGCCTGCGACGAGCAACATCGCTTCACCAGAGAAGTGGTCAGTTAAGCAAAGAAAATTGGCATTGCTGTGAGCTTGGTAAAAAGGATCACAGTCAATAACTGTAAATGCAGCAACCCACGGAATAAACATGCTATGCCCATGAAATTCTTGATTTCTTGTCATCCAACCAGAAGCTTCGGTTTTTGCAACAGATTCATTCCAAGGACGGACCCGGCCTCCTGAATGTCAACCAAGAGATGCCTGGCGAGAATATCTCTGGCAAGACCCTCGGACCCCCGCAGCATGATGGACTTTGTAATTTGCAATTGAAAACGATGAAAAACCAACATACAGCACGTAGATATGACAAATATATATATATACTGGTTGGTGGTTTCAACCCCTCTGAAAAATATGAAAGTCAATGGGAAGGATGATCCCATATATGAAATGGAAAATAAAATTCATGTTTGAAACCACCAACCAGTATGTATATATATATATATGTGTGTGTGTGTGTAATTATATATATATATATATCATCATCATCATCATCATCATCATCATCACAATGTGTAATTCTATTCAGTCTCTGCCAATATGTAGGTCTTAGAGTCTTAGGCATCCTCCATTTCCCATCCAGCTACAAAACCTCTGCCGGAGGGCCTCCGCTGGGACTCGTTGAAGTGGCGTGGCGACATGCCGGGCTTGGCACGCCTCAAAAAAGGATCCCATCCCGGGAATGGAAGAATCTGGTTGCAATTCATGGCAATTTGTGAGAATTTTATGGCACTTTTAGATCGAACATATGATCAAAGATTGCATTTTTGATGAATTTAATGGAATATCATCAAATCTATGGTAATTTCTAGTGGAATGAATGATGATGAACCATGATTTTTGGGTATAGTAACCCACAAAAAAAAGTGACAATTATTTGAGTAGAATTTGACTCTTCTATCGTGTCGGGGGTGGTTTTTTCATCCTTTTTTCATCTGGGATAACCAGCAAAAAGTTTGGAGATTGAGATTCATCCTGTCCCTTTTACCTGGCCATCGTGGAACTCGATGATCTGAATGTGTGCATAGATTGCATAGATTATGTCTGTAAATGCAGTGGTCCGACGAGGTGGTTGAACAGGATGGTGATCTGTGCGCACTAATATTTTAGTACATATTGATGGTGTAGATGCAGATATGACTCCAATGTTTTAGATATGCAGAGACTTGGCCGTAGTGTACCTGCAGAAAATCTGCTTTCTCTCCCAGAAAATGCAGCTGTCCCGAAACAAGAAAGCAAAACCTCTTCCAAAGCAGTTTTTGAGTTGAGAACCTTATCAATCGAACTGGGCCGACCCGGGACAAAGTATAGATCGAGCTTACCTAGAACCAGCGGATAAATATGGAATCCGGACCAATCCGTGCGTGCCTTTGGTCGAATTGGATTTGGATCTCAACTGCTAAGGCATCAAAAGTCTGTAACCCAATAGGCCAAGAGCCAAAAGCCAAAGCCAATCCACAAGATCATCCTCTTTCGCACATTTGCTTAGAATCTCACTGGGATACCTCTGGTGGCCAAAGTTCGTTTTTCTCTTGTTTGATGGATGTTTGATGGATGTTTGAACCCCACTTTGAATCACGTTGAGTCGTTTTTGTTGAACTCATCCAAGATATTCCGCTCACAAATTAGACTCCTACTTTTTTCGCGAGATTTGAGTATATCCCCAGCTCTAAAACCTCCATTCATAGTGGATTTCCCCATATTTTCCCATGCTTTCCCGAGGATTTCCCAGCCACGTTTCAGCCAGGTGTCTCTTTGGCCAGCTGAGTGATACACGCCTCGGCTCTCCTGGTCCAAGGGTCTAGGAGTCTAGGAGCTTTGATGATTATCTTGCAGATGTCTTGAGGAAAAAAAACATAAATATCAGTCAGAATCTGAGAGAACAATAATGGAATGTGTATATATATATATATACCATCTGGTTATTTAACATAGCCATGGAAAATCACCATTTTTAATGGGTAAACCATCTATAAATGGGCCATTTTCCATGGCTATGTTAAATAACCAGAGGGCATATACATATGTGTAATATATATACTTTATATACTTACTTATACACGCTAAATTCAAGCTGAACCCCCAAACATTGGGTCTGAGGAATGATGTTCTCATCTCTCTCTAACCATTTTCTGCTTGTTTTTTGGTGATTTTTGGTCGGAGGCCTGGCATCTGCCGAGAGGAAGTCCAATTCCTTCTGTAGCTGGTCGTTCAAGCCGCAGCCTGAGTTCGCAAAATCATTGGGGATCATCTGACCAAGAATTGGAATGTTTGAACATGTTGCAAATACTTAGCAAATAATATCATCCCAAAGTTTGCCTGAAAATAATCATCATCCCAATTTCTTTTTTGATTGAAATTGTTTTAAACAAAAAACTGCGACATTGAGAGCTGCTTTTTTGAAGGGTTTTTTTCTGAACCCACCACCAACAACGTGACGTCGGGCGTAGTCACCCGACTACCTGAGGGGATGATGGTGATGATGCCATCTGGTTATGGCTAACATAGCCATAGAAAATCATCATTCTTAATAGGTAAACCATCTATTTTTATGGACCGAATCTATACCATGGCTATGTTAGTCATAACCAGAGGGTATGAGTTCATGTATGTGTACCGATACTCTGCGCAGCATACAGTATGACACATAGACATACACATCCACAAATCTGTACATCAGGCTATGAGAAACGAGAATGAGTATTGCTTGATCCAAGAATGTTGGGCATCTACCACCGAGTTGCCCGGATCGTTGCCCACAGGCCCCTGGCAGGACATGGTCAGGAATCCACTTTGGGATGGCATGGATTCCTGTGACGAAAATCCCCATCCAATCGGCTGTTTGGCTGCATCATGGCCTCCATCCTCCCACGCATCACTGCCTCGGGGTCGCTGGTTTAGAACTCGCCTACCCCTCCCGTTTTTGGAGGATTTCATCAGTGACTACAGTAATTAACAGTAATTAGTGAATCATGGTGGTTCAACCATGCTTAACCTCACAAATGGTAGTTTAAGCGTCAAAAATGGAGAATAATGGATTTAATGGATCAATGATCAATTCCCCACCAAGTATGGTGGTTTCCAGCAAGTTTTCCCGTAAACCAATTCCAAGTTATTTGATTCTTACGCCCACCCCCTCCATGTCACACCTCACTTGTTTGCAGTTTGGCCAGCATCCCTAGCCACCCACTACGTTTGGTTTTGGGAAACAAAGCTGGAACCATTAGCAACTAATAGCAGCTACCTAGAATGTTTTTCGTCACCCAAATTTTGTATAGCTTTGAACCTGCCTTCTGCATCCATTTCGGTTTTTCTCTGCCCAGCGTCTCGCTGCTCTTGTGAATGTAGGGAGACGTGGGGCTGCACGGGCACCAAGTCCAACCAAGCATCTTCCAGTCGATACACCTCCAGGATGCGCATCCCGCGGTGGATGGCGTGGCTTCGTCACTTCTTAACTGACGGGTCATACCCTCTGGTTATGTCAAAATAACTATGGAACATCATCACCATTTATAGTGAGTTTTCCCATGAAAAATGGTGATTTTCCATAGTTATTTTGACATAACCAGAGGGTAACCATGGTCATGAATGGTTTCGAACTCAAGATCCATTCGGTGATTAGGAAATTACTACCACTTCTAACCACTCAAGTGCGATTCAGTGGGTTTTGAGCCGTGTAGGCTCTGTGGTCAAGCATTTTTCGAATCCCAGTAGATGGATCTAAAATCTACGGCTCACAGCCATCATCCATCCACAAAAATAGATACATGGGTGAGGTAAGACTCCTGGTAAGATGAAGCTTCCAATCCTTCCAACCCTTCATGGATGAGTCTGGCAGCCCGCCTCAGCCGACACATGGCAGAGACCTCCTGCCAGCCAGGGCTCAAAGCTCGTTGTTTCGTGGGATAAACACGTGACTTTTTTTTCGATGATTCACCAAATCAAAGAAGTCCAAAACTGGAAAATACTGGAAATAAATGGAAATAAGCCATTTTGAGGGTGATTCCCTCTAGTCATTCGGCATTAGGGTCATATCAGTCATATCATTTGGACAAAGAAGTCAGCAATTCCAGATGAGAACGGATGGCAACCCCCTTCCCCCTAAAAATGTCAAATATCCTCGATCAAAACCCTGGTCTATTGCTAAATCCATTCATGGATCGGGGCCTGAAAAAATGGTAAGAAATATATATATATTTATTTATGTGTGTGTGAGTGTAATCATATATATATATATATCTCTCTCATCATCATCATCATCATCATCATCATCATCATCATCATCGATACATCAGCGCGATGGGATTGGAAATGTGCGACTGAACCCAACTCCCTCTAGATTACCCATGGAGATGGAGATTCTTCGGCTCCAGGTCCTTCAGGCAGCACCCGGCGCAGCTGGGGATAGCTGGCGAACTGGAACTCCTGGCTACCGATGTTCCAATCCACTGTTCACAACCAGCGAAAGTTGCAGCTCCCTCTCCTGCTCCTGTTTCGCAAAGATCTCAGGAAACCTCAGTGGCTGAGTCACCATCTTTCAGCAAGATCGATCCACCTGGGCCTCATTCTAAATGGGACGGCAAGGGGCATTTTCGCGACGTTGGACGCGAGGGTGTGGCCTGGCTTTCTCTAACATTAGAGTCTAACGGCGATGAAGTAAGTGGACTGCCAGTGTATTCAATGGATAGCGGGAAAACATCTTGTGGGCCACAGAAAAACACTACCATAGATACGAAGGGAGGGTCTCAATTTGAGAGAGGTTGAGTCCCATTGAACCCCCATTGAATCCCTATAAAATCCCACAAGATCACCAGGGCGGCCCATCTGCCTGAGTCTTGCTCCAACAAGGCCGGGATCCGCATGTGCCGAGCCATGTCCATCAAGGTTGAGGCCAGCTGTTTCCTATCGCGGCGACGCTACGCGGCGACATTTTCCACAGCTATGTTATGTAAATTACCGGAGGCTACGGCTTATGATAAGAAAACATAGGGAGTCAAATAAATGGAACTCATCTTCAAAAAAATGTGGCACACCCAATTGGTGCTGAATCCAATGTCATCACATGTTATAAACTAGACGACGGATGGCCCGAGAGCGTAGAGGAGCAGGGTCTTCTCTTGTTAGTATGGAGACGCAATTTTAGAAACGATGTATGAAAGATGTGTTATAGGCAGTCGAGAAGAGGAGTATCAAGAC